CACTTTGTATTTTAATGTGTTTAAGAAATTCAGACTTTGCTGAGATATCGTAGACTTATTAACATTTGAAAAGGTCAAGCAAACTACAGTCTAGTCCAACATTAAATAAAAAATTGACTTTATAAGACCATTATAATGATTAAGCTTACTTTTGAGTGATCTGCATTGCAAAATATAATAGTAAGAGGTAACATAAAAGAAAATTCCTTAACCTTTATCATATGACCCCACTTCACCAGAAGCTGAGCTTTGGAAACTGGTTCAGCAGTAGTTTAAATGCTTATTTCTTCTTCCAGTCCTAAAGAAATTAAATATGAACTTCCTTTCTTTAAACTGCTGTCAAACTGTCCTTTATCCCAGGATTTTGGCAGTTATCTTTTCACAGTTGATAAAGTTTATGAATAATAAAAATGTTTTTAACCACTCAGTCTGCTTTTATAGCACTTAGAACCCGTATTTGTACTGTGACTAATGACCTGCACCTGAATGCAGAAAGGAAAGATTGCTCACTTTTATTTATTTTTTATTTCCAGTGCCTTTGTTACTGTCAGTCAGACTGTGATGCTGTATGATTCTTGGACGTAATAAAGGAGCTTAACTTTAAGCTCACAATCATCAAACCTCTCTAAAAGAATATTTTTCACCACTCTTGCATTGCTACCTTCACTTAACTGTCTTGGTTTTTAGGTCCAGCTTTTATTAGAGATAAAAAATCGACTGGTAGTCCATTCAGCCAATTTTCAGCTTGATCAACCTTGACCAGTGACTGATCAGCTGGAATCTCAAATATCTGATATTTTTCCAATCAGTGAACATATCATACCAAAAATAGCCAAATCCTTCAAGTGAAGACACTTTTTGAAGTGAAAGCTGTTGCTGCAAGAACACTACTCAAAACACAAATCTTAAATGTTAAATCAAAGGAAACTGGAGTTTCTATTGCATATTTAGTTGTTTTGGTGGTTCATTATGGCTGCTACTTTTCAACACAGATAACATGATTGCTGTAAAGTAATGTGGGGAGGAGCTTGTCTCCACATAGCTGGTTGTGAAAATGTTGGCCACCCTTTGAAAATCTCAAGTTTCAAGCTAAGTCAGGATAAGGATCTACATTTTTAATGCATTTGAAACAGAATAGGTTAACAAGTTTAAAATGTGACCCCTGTTTTTGTTTTGAAATAACAAATCCCTGGTAAATCGCCTCTGCTCCTAATGTAAAATTTAATGATCACTCAGTAAGAGAAAAAACATTGTTCTTTCTCACTAAAGCAAAGTAAATCTTTGTTAAGAAAGAAACATTTCAACTTTTAAAGCAGCTGCATGTTTCATAACATTACAGTTAGCATTAAATGTTTTCAACAGTGAAATTAATGAAAAATAATGGATAAGCCCTAAAGATTTAAACACAATGGAATACCAAAGTAGTACTAAATTTACCAGATAAAACATTATGATTCATGTACTGTATATCTGCTGGAAACCTTAATCCACTGTTCACTCTACTGTAAACTATCTTTTATCATACAGAGAAATATGGAAGAGTGACTTTGAATACAGATGTCAGAAAAGCTCACTCAGTGCTTGCAGACACACTGATGAGTCTAATCAACCATGTGCAGAGCTTTCGAGATGTACGGCTCGATCCCACTCTTTGTGACCAAAAGGAAGAGTAAACAACAGCCTCCACCACAATTATTGCCACTCCTGACTCAAATACAGTAATTGCTGTGAAGGACCAGTTATTAAGATTAGTGAAGAATTACCTTTTTTTTTTTTTTTACATCAAACTTATTTTGTTAGCTTTTTAAAATTAATAAATAAAATGATCATTTAAAACATTTATTTTAATTTCACTCCTTTTGTCTTTGATTGGTTTTGAAATTAATTAAGTGATCTTAAATGTTTTAGAGAGACAATAAAGCAAGAGCAAAAGAAATGTTAGAAGGTAAATAACTTTTTTGCTGCTTTGTAAATGTAAGGCGTTAACTTTTGGACTTTTGAAGTTGATTAAACAATGATCTTTGACTTGCTCTTTGCCCTGGGGAATAACTTTGATGTGACAGCAGAGAACATTCCTCTTAGCCACTTATGAAAAAATGCCATTGAAGTAAGAAATATGTGGTTTAGCCTTCAGTTACAATGACGGGTAACTGGTTAATTACTTTGTGAATTTCCACAAACTTTTCCTCATACTTTCTTCATACTGACAGATTAAACAGAAGATACTGAATGTTTTGAATGACTTCACACGGTCACAAGTTAATCTTGCCATCCAGAGGATGGCAAGATCTGGTAAAGGAAGTAAAAATCTTTAAAAAGTTAATCAGAGAACAGCATCAGAGTGGAAACCGAGACCGCTAAGTATTTGAGAGTGTGGGAGAAGAAAAAAATTGTGTCCAACTGGTTTGTACACAGTAATTATAGAAGTGAGGCACCGCTAATCTTTTAAAATGACTGCATTCTTGACATTTTTTTTTCTTTAATGTCTAATTATACCCCAACGACTGGCTGAATTATTATTTTTTTAATTATTTTTAAATGTTAAATTGTGTTATAGCAATAAAACCTAAACTTCCTCTAAAATAATTACATTTGAACCAGATTTAAGAATAAAGGTGGAAACCAGTGTTTATACCAAAATAAGATAAGAAGTAATCTATCTGGAGATTGACTACAAAACTATCTACAACTGTTCTTCAGAAATAAACAGTATAGCGAAGAGCAAGTAATACAGTTTACAGCTAAACTGTATGACTTGTGTCATTAATCCTTCCATCATATCTTATCCACATACAATCTATAAGCAGCATATCCTGGTGGGAAAATAAGTGTATTCTCACAATAGCGCTCAGCTTAATCCTGGCATTGATTCATCTTGAGCAGACAGCGTGCGGTCTCGGTCACATCAGACAATCTTGTGGATCCTCTGTCTGTTTGATTCGCATGACTCAAGGGACGAAGGATAATGTTGTTGGCTGCAGATTTCTGACGGTCTGAGATGGCAGTGATACTATAATCCCAAACTAGACCCTGGACAGATGTTTATCCTGGCTGACCGGGCTGAACACACACTGGCCGTATGCTCATCCAAGCGCTTAAACACAAACTCACATGAGCCATTCCCAAAATAAGTGATGTGGACATTTCTATTTTTTTCTAGGCCACGCTGTTTACGTCTAACCAAAATATGTCCTGACTGGTCAGACGCGTCAGTCTTCTTTTTTTGCATTACAAAGCCATGCCGGAGCACACTATCAATTAACTTTTACTATATTGGTTTACCCAACCCAAGAGCAGACAACTCTGCTCTTGTGAAACTCTTTTCCAAAATGGAAGCAAAAATGAGTGCAGAAGCAGAGTGTCTAAACTGAAAAATAATTTCTGTTAACTACACAGACAGTACAGACAGCTTCTGAATGCTCTTGATAATTGTCTGGGCAATGCAGGCTGGTCTATTTGAAATTTATGCAATCAGAGTAGAATCAAGAAACATTACTGTTTACTTGGGAATACGTTCCTTCTCCTCCTGTGGTGAAATAGGAAAATAGCTAAATTTGTACATTTGTTCATATTTTCCAAATTTTTTTACAAGAACAGGTACAAATACTAAAGCAGAGCAACTGAATGTTTCCCTTCTCCGAGAAGTCTTACTCGCTACTTTCTGAAATAATTGCTTCAAGGGATCAATCGGCAAACTAATTTTGGAGAGGTAGTAATTTGTTGTTCTCTGGGCTCTTAATCATGTTTTTCTTCTAATGAAACAAAGAACTTGATATTTGTAAATACAGGTGTCAATTCTGGATATCTAAAAATGGATGGTAACAATTAATGGTTTAGAAAAAGAGTGTTGTTGCAATTGACTTCCAGGTTCACAGTATAAATCAAAGTTCAAAGGTGTGCTCCAGGATCCATGAATCATTCTTTACTTTTAGATTAAACACACCCACATGCAGTTTTGCCCAACCGTTCCCTTGTTTACTCGACAAGGTAGAAGCTGCTACTTTTTCACTATGAACGATGATATAAAGTAGGATTGAATTTACTTTGTTGAAAGATATGAAGATTAAATAATAGACTTGGGGAGATGGTTTCTTGGGTTTTCATTCCCTCTTATGTTTATATTGCATAGAGTCCTTTTGCTGCTCTTGTTATGAATGGAAAGTGTTCAACAAGTAAAGATTGATTGATGGGTAGGGTATATGACATTGTACTTACAAATGTTGACTAATAGTGTGATTTACAATTTTGAATTTTAACACACACTTTAGAATGGTGAGGTATATGCTTATGTCTGTAGCTATTTTATTATTTTAAGTTTGTTTCTTTGTCTCTGTCCTACGCACGTCGAGATTGATTATTCACTGCCATGCCTCTGCTTACATCTATACATGGCTACGCCCCACAACCCTGTTGGTTATGTCAGAGAGTATTCCCAACACTAAGTCACAGCCATACATCACTCGTTTCATTGACAGGGCCTCCATTACTCTCTATTTTTCTGCCTTTTCCCATCTCCTCCTCAATCTAATGGCTTCCGCAGTTTGCCTATCATGCATCAACCAATAAGGCTGCCGGTGTGCAGCGACACACTACCTCCGGCCGTAATGGAACAGCCTGATTCCCCATATGGTCCATTTTCCAACTAAGCTTTGCTTTGAAAGTTTTTCTAACAAATAATAGATAGAAAGAAGAAATTTTTTGGGAGTCATAAATGGACGCAGCAAAGTGCAAAACATAGTTTTCATAGAGTTACAATTCAATTATAACCCTGAAAAGTTTTGCTTAAAAATTCTGTACACAGGTGTACAGGTCATCCTGCAAAATGAATTGAAGTTACAATTGTGGATAAACTTTCAACCTGAGAGCATTTTTCATCCCCACAGCGAAATAATGTCTGTGACTTAACCTCAGAGAGAGCAAAATTTCTGTTGCAGAAAATAAAACACTGACATGAACTTTTAATAAAATGTAAGATCGGCTTATAATGTGCGCTCACTTACTTGCAGAGGATGTTTCAGCATGAACGGGAGGTGTGGAAGGGATGAAAGACGGAAAGAAGAAGGATCGCAAAGATCGTTCATTGTGGAGCGGTGACCGCTGCGTGGGCAGATTCTCACAGCTCCCCACACTGCTGTGAATCTTAAGGTTCAAGGGCTTTGTCTTCTTCTTGGCTCTGGGGGGAAGCAGGACAGTATCAACCAAATTAGAAAAATAGAAAGGAGGATTTACACAGAAGAATCAACTGATCAAACATAGTAGATGGACATCAAAGTTGATCATCTCCATCAAAAAAATACATTGACATCATGAAGCTCAGCAGTTGGGCATCATGTTGCATGGTGAACCTCATACTATGCAATTACGAACACATTCTTGTCTAAACAGATGGCAACAAAATTCAAATTGCACCATGAAAATGTTGACATAATTAAAGAGAAGATTAACAAATTACTAAAACCTTTGAAGAAAATTGGTTAATACACAGTTGTTTCTTCTTCTATGTGAATTTAAAGTATCCAAGGTTTTACAAAACTTAAAAAAAATTGTGACTCATTTTGTGAATTTGAATACTAAATGTTAACATTTACATCTATTGATGAATAGATAGTGAATTAAATAGATCTAATAATAGTTGTAAAAATACAGCTACTCACAGATACAATCTCTGTTTGGAATTTACTAGACAGCAAAAACACAGTTTATTATCCTTATATAATTGTAAATCACGTTTATCGCTTTCAAAACAAACAAAATGCCTGTCTTACTGTTCCTTCCGATAAACGCTCTTTGAATTGAGAGCACAGAGAAAGCACAGAAGTGATTCAGTATTTCCCTTCACCCATCTTTTGTTGCTAAATACATTTCTCCTTTAATTACAAGAAAGAAAATTGTGACTGTTTGAAAATGTTTCCGAATAGAAAAAATGTTTCCATGCTAAAGGGGTGCCACCCAGCACTCTTAATAAGTTAAGGCTGTTTAAAAGTGATAGTTGGCAAGCCATAAGCAGCATTTTGGCCAGCTGAATTCAGACTGATTAATTAACCAAATAAGAACAACTTGTTAAACTTGTCTTTCTGTTCAAGAACAGAAAAGTAAAGTACAAACCACAAAAACTACAAATACAGATTTAACAAATGTGTAAGTATGTTCATTGGGAAACAATAAAGAATGTGTTCATAATGACAATATAACCACCATTACATCACATAATTAAAATTGAATTTTTTATTAGGTATGTAGAAATAATTGTAAAATTTTGTTCCAAATTTTTATGGAACTATTTTTGCTCAAGGTTATTATCAGGAGTAACAAGATTAGCTGAATTAACTCTGGACTGTCCTGCAGTGCTTGATATTTCTTATTACAACATTTTTTAGACATAAGCTGATGTATTACTTTCAAAACGGCTTTTTAATTAAACATTTTCGCCAGTAATTTATAAGTTGTCAACTTCCATCCTTCTGGGAGATGTTATCATGTCAAAGCTGAGTTTAATAAATTTTGTAGAACAATTTGTCTTTGTCATCTTGTCATGAAGTTTGTTCAGACAAAACATTTTTGTCTGCAGATTATCTGCAATTAGGAATTAAATGTGAGTTAAAGTGAAGGACAAAACATCTAATTAGTTTTAGATTCAAAATGAAACCTAAGCATAGGTAAATTAGGATATTGCAGTTTTATCAAAAGTTTTCTGCACCGTAAAGTTTTCATATTTTCAGAACTGGCAACACAACCTACCTCAGTAAAGGTGGACTGCACACCTATTATATCAACACATAATTGAGGCATAATTTCTCCAGGACTTATAATACATTCTAATTCATTTCATAACTGCAGCAAATAATAACATGAGGTGACTTTGAGGGGATAATTGGTAATGAAAAGTATACCCTCCATTGTCCTTCATTAGAAAAATAATCCGCATGCTGTTAATTAGCTCTCAGTGAACTAGAAGTGCAAATTTTCAATCACATAGAACTTTTCACCCTGTGATGTCACTGTGTCTTCGTCTCTCTTTTTTTGTCTTAGTTGAGACAAATTGCTCAACTTCTGTTTGTCCCATACTCCTATTTCCTTTTGTTATTTGCAAGCAACAACAGGAACTAGATTTACTCATGTTGCACAAATGTATAAACTAAATTTTGTTTTGTATTTATTTGCCTTTAAATGTGCAATGGCACAGTGTTGTTTTTTTTATTTTGCCAAAGTTGTTTGATAAAGCCTACGCTACTCAAAGAATCCTTTTCACCCTGTCAAGATGTGACACTGAAAAATTAGTGCATTCAGTGATGCTTGTGATGTGTTATTATCAGAAAGTTTAAAAATAAAGCAGTTAAAAGTCTTCAGCCGTATATTTTTCAGTTTTTTGCTCTCTATTCTCAAATCTCAGTTATGGAAGATGGCCGCTCACATTGAGTCAGATTCATTTGGAGGTTTCTTTCTGTTAAAGGGAAATATTCCTTACTACTGTCGCTAAATGCATGCTCAGTATGAGGGCTCTGCGTGTCCACATAGCTCGATATGCTGCACATTAGGGACAAGGGTGTTAGAAAATGAATGGATAAATATTATGTTTATTATATTTAGCTCATTTAAAAAAAAGAGCTGAACATAATAAACAGGATTTCTAAACAAGAAAGCAAAATATAGAAAAAAGCAGTTAGCTTGTATAAAAGACAAACTAGGCTTCCTTAAAAGTGTGCTGAAAAGAGGCTGAGGGAAGAGTTCAACTGAAAATTTGACTTTTAAAAAGTAGAAAAAGAAAGCTGTGGGTTCTGATTTATCATGCAAAGTAAAAGTCATTAAGTGTTGAATCTCAAAGGAATCTTTCCTTACATGTCAGTCATTTTACCCCTTCACTGAGTCATGCAATTAGACCTGTACACCAGCCCAGCACTTCAGTCCCATCTCCTGCAATAAGGAAGCAGCCTGCAGGTTATCACTTCTTCGTCATAGAGCTTTTGTCAGTTATTCCGATGAGCTCACTTTATGCAATTTGAATCTAAATCAAGCCATTCATTTGCTCGCATGCACGCCTTTATCCTTTGCCCGAATAATTTGTGGATGTGCAGTAAGGGGAGGGGAATGTGAAAATGAATGTGAGGAGAAGGCAGAGGATTCCCACTTTTGGTTCTGAAAACGTGTGTCTGTGTAGGCAGGCGGAGAAGGGGGTCGGGATGGGGGACTTTCAGCTTCAGAGCCGCTAAAGCTTTTATTCAGGTTCAGCAAATAAAAAAGTTGAAGGAAAGAGAAACTTAAAGAATACATGAAAGCCACGTGAAGAGAAAGGTGGGTGAATTCCCAAGAGTTGAGAGAAATCAGTGAAGGTGTGAATAGTTCAGTTGTCTTTTGATGTAGTGTAGGACTGTATGTAATGATGCATCACTCACAAATGGAAATCACTGATGTTTTTATGGCTTTTATTGGGGCCTGCCCATAGCAGGCCCCATTAAATAAGGAGAGCAGTTCGCAAGTCAGTCACTGCCTCCATGCATTGCATGGCAGGCACCTATTAATCTTCACCTAATAGAATGCCTGTTTATTGGGGCCTGCCCATAGCAATGCATAAGGAGAGCAGTGACTGACTTGCAAAATATGTAATGCCGGGATCGAGCAAGACAGCACATTATTATTAGCACAAATATTAGCATTTCACTACCAGTAGGCAGTGCAATAAGATTGTCCAGCATGATCTTTTTCTCTCATGCATTGCATGGCAAGGCACCTATTGTGCATGTGTCATATATACATATATGACATGCATATATATATATGAGATTTCCTTCCCTTAGGGTGGTCGGCGCTTGGCCGTCACTTACCTGTGGAACCGATCCCATCCACAAACCTTATCTACCTACAAAGTCACAAAATGAGCCACCGAGTGGCTGATGGATCAACCACCAGCTCTTCTCTCCATGCAGGTCTACAACAGTCACTCCATGATTTACAACTTTTTGTAAATCAGATTTTTAAAGATCAGTGATCGACCTGAAAATTGCTCCCAGTGAACCGTAGCAATTTTAGGTGATCTGACACCTGGCTGATGCCGTCCCTGGAAAAGTCCCAGATTTTAGCATTTTATGAATGAGAACAAAAACTTTCCTATATATCGTTATTACGGTAGCTGGAGACTCCATTGCCCCATAACCACCGACATGACTCGAGCCGTGTTGCACGCAACAACAGCAGTTACGGTAGCCGCTAGCGATGCTGTTAACGTTACAGAGCAGAAGAAGAGCATCATAGCCAACCACCAATAAAAATCAAGAAGAGCAGCTGGAAGCTGGAAGAAGAGAGTTTTGAGCCGCTGACGTGATATGGTATGTGAGAAACGATGTTTTGTTTGAACTAGGATAATCTTTGCTGTCATAAAGATTCGTTTCAAGGTAAAATGAAACTAAGGTTTTATTAACAAACCCAACAAGACAAGAGAACATGAGCAGCTACACAATTAGCCAAAGGAAGAGAAATAGTAACAGGAAGGCTAAGATAAATAAACTCATTGTAAAGGAAGATGTTTGGGAATTAACTGGTGATCATCAAGTTGTATTTTCCAAGCTAGATATGAGTTAAAGTTTCTCACAAAAAATGTAATCACTCAGTGACAAGAAAACTGAATGAAGATGAGCATGAACTGAAACTTTTGGAAGCCCGTTTCACCACCCTGTACAAAAAATGAAATAAATTAGCTAATTATTATTATAATGAGATAATCATACATAATAATGAGATAATATCTCATTATTATTATAATGAGATAGTATCTCATTATTATTATAATGAGATAGTATCTCATTATTTATATTTTATAAATATAAATAATGAGATATTATTATGAGATATTATTATATTATTATGAGATAGTTTCTCATAATAATGAGAAACTATATCATATTATGAGACATAATATGAGATAGTTATGTCTCATAACTATCTCATAGTTATGAGACACAACTATGAGATAGTTATGTCTCATAACTATCTCATAGTTATGAGATAGTTATCATAACTATGATAACTATCTCATAATATAAATGAGACATAATATAAATAATGAGATAATATCTCACTATAATATATAATTATCCCATAATATGAGATAGTATCTATAATGAGATACTATCTAATATTCTAATAAACTGAATGAATGAGGAAAATGGAAAAACTGGCAAA